ACAATGTGGTATTTTTTCATGTTACAGTGGTGAAACTGGCCAACCTTGTCCCATTCCCCCTCCATGACATGGTTGCGGAACTTGGTAGCTGACGGGTGCTCCAGTCTGCAGCCCGACTCCTGCATCAGCAAGTCCACTGTCTGACTACACAGACACAGAGGAAGAAATAATAAAAAGAAATAGATTAAAGGAAAGACTATACAAATAAACAATTATTATAACACATAATATATATGTAACAGACATCAGTGGCTGCAACCGAGAAATGTGACTGAAGTCCAGTGGTGTCAACCAAGAGGAGGGCAGAAAACTGCTAGATTCTCATGCAGTGCTTGCTACCAGAAATGTTTGTAATCTTTTCAGTTAATACTAATTTTCGACACAACGACTAACTCCTTCACCTCTTAAAAATAAACTGCACTTGCATATTCCATGGTTGTTTTATGATTAAACTAAAAGTTTCTCAGGCAGAGAAAAAGCAGACCACACCATCTACCTGGACACATGGTGCAAGATTGAGCTAAGTGCAGGGGTAGGGTTTTTTCCAGGACAGTGGAGGGAGGCATCAGTAGCATTTAGACTTGCAATTTTATTCATTACAGGGTAGAGTAATATATCAATTGATGTGCTGCACACAGCCAGCCAGTTTGGCACCTCTGCTTTATCAACCTGGCTAGTTAAAGGTAGAATGGCAGGTAAAAATCAGCTTTATTATCATGCATTTATAACTGACATTTGTGCCACTTTTTGTGATGACAAATGTTTCTTCAACAAGAGCTTCACCACAATGAAAATATTAACAACCTTTTAACAGAAGACATTTAACAGAAGACAGAAAATATTAACAACCTTTTAACAGAAGACATCAATACATGTTGTCACCACAGCATTATTTTGGGGATAGAGGAGGCAGTGCACTGCAGTTAAAATAACTATCTCAGAGCCTGTCAACCATGAACCATTTCCATCTGTCTAAACAGCAGCTTTTGGCTAAACACACAGCAATCGCTGCTACCACAAACATGTCTGCTGAAGAGTGAGTGTGTGTGATCATGTAAAAAGAATGGGGGGCTGACACCTTCCAGTAGCATGATGACATCATTCTCAGGTATCAATCGAGTGGCGCAGCAGCTTTGTCTTGAGCTTCTCCCTCAGCTGGCTGTTACACACAATTCACAGCTGATATCGAGGGGCTAATTTCATTTATGGTGATTTATTTCACCCTCCTAACTGACCCTTGTTGTAAACATGGCAAAGTTAGGTTAGCTTTTACAATGCCTTATTGTAGAAGCTTTGCTTCTTGGGCTAAACAGCAGACACCCACATAATTCTAGCCATCAAACAGTGTTCAGAGGTTCCATAATGTAGTTTAAAAGAGAAGGTCAGACATCTAGATCTTAAAATTCACACAATGCTGTTGCTGAGGTTTCCAGGCTGTGTTTTCATCTGAAACAGCTGGTGTGAAGCACATTCCTCAGCAGCCATGAAAGGAAATGATTCTATTCAACTAAGGGGAATTTGTCCTTATGGTCTGCTGTCTTTAAATAAATACGTACTTGTCACAGTTTCAGACTGATCCTTGGCATTTCGGTAAGCATGGTGACAGTGGCACACAGATTAAGACCTTTGTATGAGAAAGAGGGGCATCGTGCTGTTAATAAGTAAGCCTATGTAAAATGGTGATGAATAAAAGAGTTGACGGAATGACAGCTGAAAAACGTGCAGAGGCTGCACTCTGAATACTAAAATAACCCCCACCAGTTTTCATAACCATGCTCGATATCATTACAGGGTGGCCGACCTATTAATGTTTCTGCCTCATACAGTGAACAGAAAAGGGGCAATGGAAATATAAAGCTAAGCAAACCCAACTAGTACCTATTCGAAAGACGACGTTCAAAATACGCACAATAAGATCATCTCACGATTTATTTGCGCTATGGTCTTAAAACGCAAAAATAAGCACTAGAAAAATAACAAATATTGATCACCTTTCAGCTGTAATTAACACAATGAATAGCCTTCATGACTTTGACATTTTACCAAACACAAAGTCAATCCCTCCTGATTTTTCGGAACATTATTATTGATAAGATGATGTAATGCATCTTAATCCGTGCTAAATTTACCCAGCTAATCATCCGAATATAGCGCTGTTAGCACTAAATATACATTTCATTCCTTGGTGATGTCTTAAGTGTGGGAAGGTGTCCGATTGTGTTATATAGGATTTTTCTGGCAGGATACAACACATCAGCGCAGGCTAGTGTTGGTAGCCATCAAGCTAAGTGTTTTATTGTGCAAGATGGACCCCTTCTTTCCACCAACTGCCGAGCTCACAGGCTAACTGCCCCATCCCCCCATGTTTGTGTCTGTCAGCCACTCTAACAGCCTTTACCAACTGCACTTTCGCACTTTCAAACCAAATACCAGTAAATTAATTTAGCCTCTTACATTAGAAGCTACTGTTGTATGGTCTTGTGGGGTTTCTCCCGACTGACACACTGAATAAACTTACTTTAGCCCCAGTCCATGTAGATGTTGCCCTATTAATCGTATGACATCTTCCTCAGCCTGCGTTAGTCGTTTCTTCTTTTTTAACGAACCGACCTCGGAGGCCGAAGTTGTGGAAGAAGTCGAAGTCCCCGAACCGGGTCCAATTGAGGACCCATTACTGGTACCGACAATATCCCCGTTATCTGTGCTCGAGAGGAGACCGTTGGAGTGGGTTCCGCCGGCCGAGGATGACTCCCCGTTCTGTGCGCTGTTCAGGCAGGAAAGATCCGAGGATTCTTGTCCCTGTCCTGCCCCGTTTGCCTGCATGCTGCCGCTGAGGATATTGACAACACTTCGGTTAAACTGGATAGCAGAGGTGGCTTGAGAGAGATGAGAGTGCGACGCAAGTCCCAGGACAACTCCAGAGAGGCCTGTTACAACTGCTGAAGCCCCGGGCTCTCCTGCTCCCTCCGCCGCCGAGGCTCGGTGCTTCTTCCGCGGGGGCGGCGACGCTCCACCGGTGTCCGAGTCGGAGGAGGAGGAAGCGGAGGCCAGAGTTTCCTCACCGAGAGCGGCCGTGGTTAGAAGCCGGCGGAGCTCCGGGTGGGAAATGAAGGTTACGCTTCCAGATTTCAGGTCTGGTTGTCGGGCTGTGAGCAGACTGTCACTACAGAAGCTGACAGTTAGCCCGTCTTGTTGTTGTTTCTCTCAAAACAGCTGCAGCTCTAATGGAGTCCTCACGCCCTGACGTAACCGGAAATTCCTACACTACCAAGCTTCCGGGTAGAATATAATCCAAGGGTGGCGCATAATAATCTAGTATAATAATGATTTCAAAACAATAACGCTTTTTAATAAAATTTAAATAGGCGCCTGTTTCCAATGCGATGACCCTTTTCACTTTTTAAACTATGTTAAACAGTCAATGTGTTTGCTGTATAAACTTTTTTTTTTAGAATTAATAGTACATAGTTATTTGAAAAGTCACAATTAACCCTTTATTAAAATGTACGTTGTGTTACATTTTAGCAAAAAAATATTGCTAGGAACAGATCGCTGGGTGAGCAAAAGGTACCGAATAAAAAAACATACAAATTGTTTAATCAATTGAAAAAGTTTACTATTTAGGCAGTGAAAATTCTCTCTTCATGGTCCCAAACGTTGTGTGGGTCACTTTACTTCCAAAACTGAGATATGATTGATTTTAGCCTATTAATATGAACTAAGCCATATATTTTATTTATTTTTGAAATACTAAAATACTAAATGTAGTGACAAGACTTTTTTAACACAGTATAAATAAGAAAAAAAATCTATATATAAAAAAATCTTTAGGGTAAAATAAAAATAAAGTTAGGCATTTGTTCATTCAGAGCCATTTGTTCCCTTACAGCCTATGAATCAAGTGCAAAGTGATCCCACTGCTATGTGAAATATGTACTGTGCTTGAAGTGGATTTTAAAGCCTACATTTTCAGAGCAGTTGCAGTCATGTTAAAGTGATCAACCTTCAAAGCTTTGCTTTGCTTGAGAGTTGTTGTTTTTTTTAAGACAAAGCTCAATAAACAGTTTATATGTGAGAAAAGTAAAAAAAAAAAAAAAAAAAAGAAGAAGGAAGAGGAAAAATGTTTCTGCCCTGCCTTACTATTGTTTAATGGCATTTCCAGTTAGGAATTTTCATGAAAGGTCCCCAACTTGGTTTGGTAAGGCGGTGGTCACAGCTCCATCATTGCCAGTAGGTTTGTCTTTGCCTTTCATGAAAAAAGTTAGCAGCTCTCCTTTCCCTTTAACAAATATGGGTCCTCTCCTGACAAAGCGGAAGCCATACTCCTTTAAAATGTCATAGCAATCTTCCACAACCTGATGACATGAAAAAACGAAAAATCATTAAAAAAAAAAAAAACTACAAAGTGTATGAAGAATTCTGAGTTGTTGCCTTCTCATGGGTTTGTTACCTGGATGTTGCCCATCACTCCTGTGGACTCCATTCTGCTCGCTACATTAACAGTATTGCCCCAGATGTCATAATGTGGCTTACGGGCTCCGATCACCCCAGCGAGAACTCCTCCTTTGTTCAAACCTGAAGGGCAATAGTGTAAAATCCTCAGGTTTCCAATGGTGCAGACAGAAAGAAAGAAATACATACTGACAAAAGACTGACCGATTCTTAGCATAAAGTTGTTGAAGGACTGTTTGTTGAGGTTGGTAAGGGTGACTTTCATTGCCAAGGCAAAGTCTGCCAGATCAGAGAGGTGCTGCCAGCGCTCTATCAATGATTGTTCTTCTGGCTGTGCATCATTATTACATTTCCCACAGTCACAATTAAGCAACATAAACATGAACACCACTAGTTACAGTAAATGAAACCATATTTAGCATGACCAAACGTGTAACACCATATATATGTACAAAGTTGTAGAATTTCCCACCTTGCGATTGCTGTATCTATTTGTGCTGCTCTCCGGGGTGAGACCTGATGCAGCCATATAGGTGCTCCCTATTGTTTTGATTTTTGTAATACAGCGGAATTCATCCCGGTCTAGCAACTGTTGGAGAAATTGAAATGAAACATAAATTCAAGTGATTGTTGTAATTTAAACTGTCTAATTTGCACCATCTTAAGGAACTACTAACAATAAATCTTAGTACATGCACACAGTTGAACTTACACTGTCAAAGTCAGAGATGATCTCATTGAGAATCCTGAGGCACTCAAGGCCTCCATTGTTGATATTTTCTTCAGTATAGAAGTCAGAAAAGTTTGGAATGGAAGCAAACATCACTCCCACCTCATCGTAAGAATGGCTGTACAGTTCCTGTAAACAACGCCAGACGATATTAGTTTGTTTTGATTGTCTTTTTTTAATCATACCACGTATGCAAAATGCATGACCAATATGCAGTTCCAACATTTACCACAAGATGGTAGTAATATACAAGGAACTGAAAGTGCTGTACAAGTGCTGAAAGTATGAAACGTGAAAATAAACATTTAATATATGCATGTGCTGATATATATATATATAATTTTATTTTTACCTCATCTCTCTTCTTAGTTCCCAAAAAGTGTTTGGCCACATGTTCGGGCAGCATATTTATTACAAGTGCCTCATTCCATCGTCTCATTTCAAACACTTTCTCCTTTTGATCGTGGACACCAAACTTCCACAGGAACAGCTGTCTAGACTGATGCTCAAGCTGAAGTCATTGAGAACACAATAGTAAGATTAATCCATCCATCCATCAATTCATCCATCCATCCATCCATCCATCCGTCTGTGTCATATATCCAGGTCAAAGCAGCAGCTTGTCATACTGTATAAAGTGGTACATAGGTAGGTCAAGACATTTCTCTGCCTTCTCTGGCATATCCGATGGCATTCTCAGACCAGTTGACATACATAATTTCTCAAGCGTGTTATGGAACTACCCTGGGGCCTTCCACCACTCAGATACCCCTGGAACACATCCAATGGAATGTATCCAGGGGGCATTTGAATCAAATGTCTAAACAACCTAAACTGAAACTATTCTGAGCTTCCCTTGGCTACTGTAGCTCTTGAATCCATCTTTAGGAATTAGCAAAGTGATGTATGTGTTATATTCTTATTTGAGCCACTTGATTTTTACATCATTTGGCTGTTATAAATGAAAAGGTCATGATCATATGAAAATAGACAGCTGAGAACATCTCCCAATTTAGATCTGTGATGGTCACAACAAGGCATTACATCACCAGATGTGCTGCTTACAGTGACACTACCTGTTAATCTTTTCACTAGAAAATAACACAGGACTCCTCTGCTCAGATACTTGATAGAGCTAAATGCTAACTGTTCTGGGAAGGCCAAGGGTCAAAAAACACAAAGGGACTCACATGACGGGCGAAGATGTAGAAACTTATCATCATGATAATAATCATAATGGTCATGACATACTTGGACGGCACTATAGATGTCCTGTAAAATAAATTATATTTGAATGAGCTCTTAGAACCCATTTATGTAATTATCAAGTATCAAACAACATCACTAAAAAAGTGTGCTCAAAATATCTATATATTTTAGCCCTTTTATATTTGTCTCACCTGTAGGGGCCGAACTGTATGTAGTCGTACAAGTCATAAATGTCTCGCCAGCTGTAGATATTTACAGCTCCAGTTGCTGTTACAACTAGAACCATCAGACCCAGTTTAATCAGCTGGCTGACCTGTACCAACATGGCTGTTGCAATAAGCGACATCACAGCCATAAAGCTGTAGTGCTTAGGATTGTCCACACAGGTTTGGTCACCAAGGGACTGCAAAATGGTTCCAGAGCTACTGTTGTAGAGCTTAATGGATGGTGGGCCACAACTAAGCTGCAAAAAACAAACAAAACAGAAATGAGTAGCTATTAGTACTTCTACTGTCTCTTGCAACCACATGGACCAAATTAAACTTAATATGTAGATTTAATGTTTAATGTTGCTGGGAGCCTTTTTGCACTGTTTTCTAGACTGTGCCTATCACTGCAAAATGACAGGGAGTAATAATTGTTCAGTGTGTGTGTAACATGCTGCTCCTGTGGGGCTGGGCCACATAAACCAGCAGGCAGCAAGACAGATGACTAATGGACCCCACTGGGAACATGTAGTTAGACACATACAAGACAGTGATGGTTGGATGAGGACACAACTGGAAAACGTGCAAATGATGACATAAGTTTACGGTCAGACTAGAAAACGCATATTTTTGTACTTTTTACACACAAATAAATTTAACTTAAAACAAAGGTATATGCCTAGTGTTTCTTTATAAAAATATAACAATACAATTGTTTAAAAATAATTCTAATGATAATTCAATAGTCACACATTATATCGGAATGTGGTTCAGTGTTACCATGTCAGCAATCACAGCCATGGTAAGAACAAATATAGCAGCCATTGCCCATGTGTTTCTGGCCCAACGTGTGCGATCGATCCACAGTGAGAAGGACACCAACCTCTTAGAGAACATCTGTCGAAGTCAACAAACAAAATAATAATTTATATCAATCATTGTAGACCCAGAATTAATAAAACAAACATTTCTATCATTTGCTATGTTCTAAGTTTACCCTGAAACAAAAAGTATTGAGATTAAGGTGATTTAAATACTCAGTCCATTTGTTTGAGGTTCATTTCTTGTCATTAACTTCGTATAGTTATACATACACTATATATACTATGCAGTATATACATACTATATATATAATTTGCCTTTCAAAAGTGAAAGATTGTTCATGACACCATACAGAATTCTATTTTGGTTCCTTACCCTGGGGAAGATGGCAGCCAGGGAGCAGACTGTGAGAATGAGCAACAATATCTCCCCTATTACGAAGGTGATATAGTTCACAGCCAGCCTGGAACCAGAAACACATGTACACCAATGTGGTCGACATTAAGCTTCCGTATTCTGTGTGCATTTTATTTATATTTAAAGAAACATTGTCTATGTTTTATAAACTCACTCTGGGTCGATGAACACCTGCATTGCTGAGATGAAGAAGAGCACAATCATGCAGCAGCTAAAGGCTGCTCCACTTCTTTTCTCCTTCTCTGAGGAGTAAAGCTCCTCTAACTTTCCATGAAAGTGCAAGGACACTGGGTTAATCTGATGACCCTTCATTCTGAAAAAACACCCCCCAAAAAACAGCATGATTTTTGTTTTATACACCCAGAGAACATGTCAAGGTCTGTCAAATGTTAAATACTATCTTTGTCTCCTCCTCTACATTTATTTATATCTATTTTTATATTGTCTTACATTTGTTGAGATTCTCTGTCCAGCAGCTCCTGTTGGAGTCGTCTGTTGATCACATCTTCCACAACCATCTTATTTTTCTGTGACTATAAAAGTTCCAGAAGATTTTATTATATGACTAATTTGAGGACAGGCGTTTAAGACAATAATTTAACATCCTTAATAAACCTTAATAAAAGTTAATAGGCAAAGAAAACGATTAATCTTTCCACCATGTCAGCAGAAAACACTTGTTACTTTAGATTGGAAAAGGGAAACGGTTGGCTAAAGATGGTTAAAGGTGGTTTCAAGCAATTTTTGTACCGTTAATTACAATATATAAATTAAAGGGTAAAAAGTAAATTTAATGTTACCCTTAGGGCTGTCAAAATGAATGGAAAATAAATGTTGAATGAATTAATATTTTATCCAAAGCTCCCCATTGATTAACCATGATTTAATTTGTTAACAACATGGCAACCATAGAAAGACCAGCTTAAAATGAAAAATCACTAAAAGGATATATACTCAACAAGAGCTCATCAATTAAGATGTAACAACATAGCTAGAAAATAGTTAAAAGTTAGCACCTCTTGTTGGGCCTCAGCAGGTGCATGCTGTGGTGAGGTTGCATTCCCATTGGTTGCTGTTGTATTGATCAGCTGGTTTGAACTTTTGTGCGACAGTCTTTTGGGTGTCTGACAGAAGAGAGGGGCGGACAATAAATGTTAGTGTCACATTGTAGTTGAAAACATTCATTTGTGTGTATGCAATATTGACACCCTTACATTTTCATCAAGCCCATTTTCCACTTGTCGAGGGTCTAGAACCAAGAAGGTGCCGATGCCCTTCTCCAATAAGTACTCACACCTCTCTCCACCATTCCCTTCCTCTAGTTCAAACTCTCCATGCAGACTGTCCTTGGTGCTCTGGGATATATGCACCCTCCTGTGGCAAACATAAAAACACACACAGTTAGAAATATATAAAATAA